ATTTGTATAATGGCAGTGAAGGTTTTTTTTTTTTTTTTTTTTTTTTTTTTTACCTTTTTCTGTTCTATTCTAACATATCTTCATGTATTTCATGACACTATCAAGTTTAAATAAAATTTTAATAATGCTTTTTTATAATTGGGCTATTTTTAAAGCTTCATTTAACGTCTCTTCATAGTCTGATTCACTGCCAGAACAGGAAAAATGCATTTATTTTTCTAGTTACTGAGAGGAAACACATCATATCTATGGAACTGGTGAGTCTTCAAAAGTGTGACACAGGGATATTTTAAAAGAAAATTACTATTCAAAATTCAAGCGTTTAACAGAAAAATCAGACATTATATAATGATAAAAAAACAACTGATACATAAGTAAATGTTAAAAATACATTAACCTACATGTTCTGGCTGGGATATACACAGGCAAGTCGGTAATAGGGAAAATTAATTTCAAGGAGCTGGTATGTCTAGAATGGGCACCAGAGGGCATAAGTGTTGGCAACACAAGTGCAATGATGGTGTAACAGTGGCTGGAGTGTCTGAGGATCAGTCACAGCACTGAGTGAAGGTCACCATACAAAGGATGCCTGGTAGATGCATAAGACTGGGTTTCAATACCAATAGAGTTTGAAAATATTGTCAATTTCATGACAATCATTAATCAAAAATATACATCAGGCTGGGTTGCTGCATCGAGTGATTGCATCCATTCTTCTTACCTTCCTATTATGAACCCCTTTTCATCTCGTTTATTGCAGTGGTCATCCGTTAATTCTTCCATCTTCTCACACTTATTCCATCAGGGTCGCAGTGAGGCTGGTGTTCTAGCAGGGAGGCGAGGTACACCCTGGACTGGTTGCCAGTTTGGCTCAGAGAAACAAGGAGATATACAACCATGCACACACACACACACACACACACACACACACACACACACACACACACACACACACACACACACACACACACACACACACACACACACACACACACACACCTAAGGACAATGTAGAGATGCCAATTAACCAAACAGTCATGCTTTGGACTCTGGGAGGAAGCCAGAATACCCAGAGAGAACCCACCGCACTCAGGGAGAACATGCAAACTCCATGCAGAAAGGTGATCGAACCTAGAACCTTCTTGCTGCAAGGCAACAGTGCTACAAGCTGCTTCCTATCTCACTTATTGTTTTTACTTCATGATTATGCTGCAGTGGTTTGTAGCATTGCTTTTCTTATAATATTACTAATTCTTATGCTGATTCCAGACACACCGGCAGCTTGCAAAATAGGTAATTTAGGTACAGCAAAAACTGACATACAGTTTGTCAAAAACCTTAGTTTACTTTGTTTCAATCTGTTGTGAAACACCAACACAAATTAATTCATAATTGTTAGGTATAAATAGAATTATACATAATTTTCATAAATAGACCACCTGTGATGAGTAAATCTACAAATATAAAAAATACCTGGTCTGTAAAGGCCTTGGAGGTTTGTGGCAGAACAACAATGAAAATATAGCATCATAAACCTAAGGAACCCAGCAAACAGGTCTGAGAGGTCTAAAGTTGTTAAGACATTTAGCAGGGTTATCTTTTAAAATAAAACCTAAAACTTTGAAAAACTCACAGATCCATATTTAGTCCTTGTGCAAAGATATGCACCAACACAGAGGGTAAGAAGAGGATAAGGTTATTGATGGAAGAAGCCAAGAGGTTTAGGGAAATTCTGGAGGAGCTGCAGAGATCCTCATCTCAGGACACCCAAACCATATATTGATTATTAACTCTATTCTGATATTTATGTAAGAAAAAAAGGGATTGCATGTTGCAAGTTTAGCACAAGAAACTGAGGGAATCATCATTCATTGAAAGATTTGTAAAAATGTGGGGGGCTCTGGTCAGATTATTGTCCTCCATGCAAAAGCCTTGTCACTGAGTCATTCTAACACGGCTCATCACCTAAAAAAACCTATCTACGCAGTGAAACACCGTGGTGGCACCACCTAAGAAACTGAATGTTTCCCAGGGTTGATAGATGGAGTTAAATACAGAATATCGCTGAAAAATAGTATTTTATAAGCTTCAAAATGCTCGAGAACATGTAGCCAGATGCATAATGAAATGGTACAGATTAAAGTATATCAATGTGTTAGAAACATAGTATAGGCCTAATTCTGATTAAGAATGAGTGGCAAGAGAAGTGGTGTTTTGCAGACACTCCATGTGCAAATCAGGTATGCCGTGACTGTTGTTTGGTGTAAAATGTTCTATCTAGAAAGCATTTATTAATCTTTACGATATTTTACCCTTCCTTGGGTAAATCAGCAGTATGCAAGGGGCAGTGTTTACTACATCAGAAAAATACTGCTGCTTTAAAAATAGCTTACAAGGATTATATCAGAAGTCAAAACATTAACAAAAAACTACACATTTAAAATCAGAGATGAAAGACACTTTTTTCATTGTCAGGCTCAGTGATGCAGTGATTTAAAGTCTAATAGTTACCAGGAGGAAGAAGCTGTGATAACTTTTCTTGGTGCACCTAGGTTGCAGGACTTAAGGAGCTCTGAAGCCCTGCAGTAGCTTCATACAGGATGGAATAAAGTGTCTGTCAGTTTTTATCAGTGCTTTTCGTATATCCAAATCCAAATATATATATAGATCCAAATCTCTCTCTCTATATATATATATATATAGATATAGATATATATTAAATAGTAGTAGGGAGATATGTCTTATAATCACAATGTTGTGTTGGTCTGTCACATAAAGTTCCAATAGAATACACACACTTTTGTGGTTGTAATTTGAAAATATGGTGAAAATGTTAAAGAGTCATATATATACCCATAGCCCATCTGTATATACATCAACTTAATAATTTCATCAAAGTTCAAAAGCCAGATGAAAACCTAAAATGCATTTGTTTATTAATGCATTTTAGGTTTTCATAAGATTCTAGATTTCCCAAATGTGTTCATGGTTGTTTAGTGTTATGTTGATAGACTGAAACTTTTTGCATGTGTGTCATTAAACTCATAATATTGCTTTAGTGTGGAAAACAAACACATGAATGCATTGTTAAACATGTTTATTGGTCATATACAAAATAAAGTAAGCTGTTTATCAACAAACGTACAATATATACATGAATAATTTAAAAGATGCTTGGACTGATGAGGAAACAGTTCATTTTCATAATTACCAATACCTTGTTATCATATCTATCTACAAATTGCAAAAGAAAAAAAAAGTAGTACAATAATTTAGTCAGAGATAAATACTCACATTTGAAGGTTTTCCTATAGAAAGTACTGTTGTTCCTTAGAATAATTTATGACATCCCATACAGAAATGTTACAAAACACAGAGCTTTTCTGAATACGTCACACTTATTCACTCACTACTTCTGTATAGTTTTACTGTTACCACCGCATACTTTTAGAGACATTGAAACATCCTAGCTCCAATAACCGACCTCGCTTAACTAGTAAATGGGTGATAAATGGGAAAAGAAGCTGATATCAAGAGTAAAACAAAAAGTGTTTTACAACTGCTGAAGTTGGGCAGCAGGGAGGAAGACACAGCTGCAGATGAGGTAAGTTAGGAGGCTAAACAAACATCGTTATTGATGAAAACGCCAAACAAGCGATCAAAGGAATCCTTGGTTCATTTACTTTTATCGATCTGGATCTGCATTGGGTGAAAGGGCTTTTAAAGTCCGGTGGCGTGATTCACTAGACAGAAAAAACCCCATCTGAATGAGTGCACACTGATTGGCCAAGCAGCAAGATAAGGAGTTAATGGTTCCAGAAGGAATGGGTGTTTTTTGAGGAAGGGCTTAGTTTGCGGCCTAGTTGACTCAGGGAGCCATTTTTGAGAGGAGGACAGAGAGGGTTAGGAGTTTTTATCAGATGTGTCTCCACCGCCTCTTCTCAGCATCTGTAAATTATTTATGGGTTCAAGTATGAGCGGTTTCTCTGGTTAGTGATGAAATGCCTTATCGTAAGAGGGTTATGACCTCTGTACAAGCAGCGGGAAATAAGGTTTGCATGCCTTACAGCTCATAAACGGCATCATGAAAAGCCACCAAGCTTCCTGCTCTGCTCGGACTGAAGGTCAGAGCCGTCAGCTGATGGTATCTGCTGAGGAAAAATCTGGATTAAACCTTTGTAATGTTTAACCTCTCTGGTTAAATGGGACACACACTGCTCACTAAAAATCCACATGTGGAGGGCAAACACTCCCTACGGAGGTTGCAGGAGAGCAAAAGTATATTTTTATTGGCGCCAAAGGTAAAGATGTGTAAGAAGCCGAAATATTAGTGACAGTCACAGCATATTAACTGGATTTAAATATAGAATTAAACTAGGCCACTTGAAAACCTTTTTTTGTTTTGTTTTTTCAGCCCCTCAGCTGGTGTCTGAGTCATTATTATGCTGTATAACCCTGGTGTACTTGGCTTTGGTGTCAAAGACTTTGTCTCATCTGTTCTTAAAGGGGTTCATACATTGGAGCGTTTCATTCTGCCTTTAGAGATTCTTTAACCCACTTCAGTTTCACTGTTGGGTTTATTTAAATGGTTTTTAGCTTTTAAAATACCACAGTAAGTACGTTTAAGTTAAATCTCTGACTGTACCTGTGACAGGAATCTGTTCTCTGGAGATTATTTTCTGACTCATTACCAGCACTGATCTTACATATTGGATCAGTATGCTTTCTTGTTTTTTTCCATTTGGAAGAATGAATAACCAATATTTTTCTATATCACACTTCCCAAGGACATTGCAAGCCATTATTACAAGACGAAATTTCATAAAATTGCTATATATATATATATAAATATATATAAAATTATTCTTTTTATAGGAATTATATAGCTTGTAGTAGTGACCTTGTTGCTAAAGTAAAAACATCTTTCTCCCTCTGCCCCTCATCAATTCAACTGATTTAAAAAAGGGAAATTAAATACTGCAGTAACTTACAGTTTTTTGTTTTTTTATCGAATTGTTGTAGGTATTGATAGCTGTAGGCAGAATCTTCTGTGTTGGTCTTTCTCAACGTACATTAACCTAAGTTGGGTCTGTTTTTTTTTTTTTTATACATCTTTACCAGTGGTGCCTGTAAGTCACATGTTAGAAGTTTATTTTATATCCTCCCCTCATTTTGGAAACTAATTAAAGAGATTTATCATTTCAGACGTCACAGTTAACTTTCAAGGAAAACTATGTAAAAGCTAAAAGACTCGAAGCCATAACTAGACGGAGGCAAAGCTGCATCACTTTTCATTAACGTGTATAAAATGCTTTAACCTCATCACATCACGTTGCACCTGCAATTAAAAAACAAACAACCTGACAACCAAACACAGATAGCATCACTCCTCCAGTGAGGCAGGACTCTTAATTTTACCCAACATATTTTACATAATAAATATGTCGGTTTAACACATTTGTGCTTTCACAGATTGGATCCTATGCAAGCTGTGGAGAGCACAGAGTAGGATGAAACACTGTTTAACAGAGGCACTGACAGCAGTGGGCCAAAAAAGTTTAACTGAAAAAAAAAAGAAAGAAAACAGGTTAATAAAATAAAAGTGTGTCATATGGGTAGGCTTTAACATGCAAACATATAATTCTGCATGAAATGCTAACTTTCTCTCACTGTTGATTTCAAAATTATTTGATAATTTACAAGGTTGAGGACCAATTTACTGATCTGACCAACTTTACTTCAAAGAGGAGTAAAAGTTCAGCTAATTCTGTCCTTTGCTTGGATGGTTGAAATCAAAGGGGGTGAAAGAAAGTATTTTTTCTTTCTGTTCATTAAAAGCATCATAAAAGCTAATCCCCACCTTTCTGGAGGTTCATAAATAAACTAAAAATCAGCCTTTTTTAATGTAATTTTTGGCTTTTAGTTCAGATAAATCAGATAAGGCTTAGGGACAACTGCTTTGATACGTGAATGAAACTTAACCTTTAGTTTTCTTGAATTTGAAAGAATACATTGTTACAGTTCTAACAAAACAAAAAAAGAAACCCTCCTATTGTAAAAAGACACACATCAAATAAACAAAATCTGCATAATTCTGAACTGGCAATCCGCACTGATTTCTCTGAAAATCGGTATTGGCCACCAAAGCCTGATTAGTGCATTAGCATCTCTCACATGCTTTTGTTTAGCAGAGAAAGTTAAGAACAAAGGCTTTGGTTCATGAACTAAAATAATCTATAAATCAATTAATTTACCTTTTAGTCTATTAACCCTATATGAGGTGTTTTTTTTCTGCAATACAGTGCTTGTAAAAAAAAAAAAAAAAAAAAAAACCTAAAAACCTCCACTGAGCGAGTTGGACCACAAAGATAATCGGAAACTGGTATTTGCAATTAAAACCCTGATTTGTGCATCTTTAACATTAATGGTTTAAACCTAATGAATTGTTTGCATTTCATGAAAACAAATGTTTAAAACCAGGTTATAAATGCTTGGGATTATCGTACTAAGAAAAAAGGTCAACCTTACCCAGATAGACAAACCATGAAATAGTAGAATATAGTCTTTCCACTTTATAAAACACCGTATACACTTACAAATATCATTAAACGTCCCTGACACTTCCAGAAGAGCTCAAAAACTAACACAACAACAACATTAAATATACATAAAATATACAGAGAAAAACAGAGTGCTTTAAACACACAGTAGAAAAATAAGTTACTGAAGGATTAGAGAAGATGCAGCCACAAAGCCCCAATCACAGAGTTTCACTTTTCTGCTATCTTATCAAGATAACTCGAAGAGACAAGATTATTGAGCCCGTCTGTAATTTGATCCCCAAAGCAACAGGACCTCCAGATCAGCACTGGCAGAGAAAGTAATTCCGTATCAGCCCGCTCTGAAATTTGTTAAAAAAGCAAAAATGTTCAAATTCACTCCTTGCAAGTGTAGCTTAACAAATTACCTCACCAGGCCACAAAGATGACTAGATTAGAGAAAGAGTGCAGATACGCATTATTTCATCATCCACCATGGGCTGAAATGTTAAACAGATCCAAATCATAACCAGAAAATAGCTAATAATCACCTCGTTACATACCTATACAGCATACCAAACGCTAGTCCACTGTTACGCACACCTGCCTATTTACTAAAGAAAAAAAACAAAACAAAAAAACAAAGCTATTCAGTAGTTAAGCCACTTTTGGTACAATTGCAAAATAGAGAGATTACTGTATATCAAACGGATCTTGTGATACTTACAAACAATGCAAAGATAATTGTCTTTATAAAATTACAGACTCCACTATACACAGACTCTTTGAGTATAGAACACCACAGAGGACTACTTTTAAGTAAAAGCCGGGGAGGAAAACAAAAAACAAAAAAACAAAAAAACCTTTTAGATTCTCTGGAAATGTGTTTTCAGTTTTCCTTATACAGTAGTTAATAAGGAGTATTATTATTCTGGGAGTCTAGGAGTCTTATTGTTCTGAGTCTGATAGCTACAGCAAAGCTTAATCAATGCACAACAAACTCCAGAGCCGGCCACAATTATTGCTATCCCTGGTAATGGTGCGTCAACCTGTTCACCTAGGGACGAACAGATGGGGACTCTTAACCATAATCAGGCATATTTTAAGATGCATCTAAATATTTTCTTTTCTTTTACTGAATGGTTGTTCAAGTTGTTTACTGAAATTTTGAGTTTGAGATTATGCATATTTCAAGAAAGGGTTATAGTTTTTCTTTTTTCATGACCTGTTTATAGTTTTTACACGTCTTTACCAGGGGTTAGCAAAAATGTGTCCAGCAATGAATGCTGCTCAGCTTTACATCTGCATCCTCCTTCAGCTCCTCTTGGTGCATATCATTATGAAACCAAGGCACTTGGCCTTCCAAATTCTGGAAACTCTCACACATCAAGGTAACTTGGTTATTTTCTTTTTTAACTGATAGGGTATCTTGCATTTTCCTTATTTCAATTTAAGCTAAATATGGACTTGTAATTGACAAATCCCCTCATCAAAGAGGATTTGTACGTAATACTGGAAGATTTCTGCGATTGAAAAACAATTCAAACTGGAGGGCCAGGAGGAACAGTTGGAAAAAAAGAAGGGTTGGACATTAAAAGTGAAAGACCACAGAAAATAACACAACTAACTAAACATAGCGATACCAGAACAAACACTCGCCACAGAATTTCACAGAATTCCTGATATATAACATTTCACACACAGAGAATACACCTTGGACCTCATGTGAATGACAACACAGTACAAAACAGTAGAAATACAGTTACCACCATTGTATAATATAGATTCCTCTATTAGTACTTTTCTGAAAAAGTTCTTGGGTGAAACAAGACTGGGCTTCAGTGCAGTCTATAATCAGCAGGTCACTTGTTTCTTTGTAATACATAGCTGTTGTATAACTTGGTGCTCTGAGTACCGATTTATGAGTTGAAGAGGCACCAAATCAAAACTGCAAGACATTTGAACTGACCAGATTTTTAATCAAGTCTAATTGGTAATCTAGTGGATAAACATGACATTTTTTCCCCTGTTCCATTAAGAGCATCCGGCAATGACTCCTGTTGCTTTTTTATATAAATGTATTATTCTGTTGTATGTACTTTGATGCACTTTTTGGGTTTTTATAACAGTCGGACAAAGTTAGATGCACGCGATGCACAAATAAAGAGTCATCTTTGTTGGATAAGAAAAAAGAATGGATTAATTGTATGGCCATTTTGTGACCAGTTTGTGCATCCATACAGTAATTTAAGTTCAACATTTCATTAAACCCAACACAATGTCCAAAGGTTCTTTTTCAGGTTTTCTAAAATAAATACTGGAGATTTAACAAGTGACCTTAAATAAAATTTTCCAATTCTCTGACATTTGCTTCCACATATTAGCCAAGGGACCCAGTCTGCTCTAGATGATCACGCTCTGACCAGAAGCCTCTTTGTGAGCCTCCTCTGCTTCCATCCTGTCCTTCATCTGCACTAATCTGAGACGGATGATGGGAACACGCTGGGGTGGTCCGTGTGACACCGCCCAGCTGCTGGGTGTCTGTGCAGGTGGAGGAGAGGGGAGCGACAGAGAAGGAGGCTTGCTCTGATGCAGCTGAGCTCCATCCTGTTACACCCTTGTTTAGCTTTCTCTCCCTCAAGACCGTGCGTCTGTCTTTGACTTGACTATCGTGATCACGCTCGTCGCCGTCGCCACCTTCCCAGGTATGAGCGGGCTGATGACCGACGACGGCACCCCTCCTCCTCCCCCCCCACCTGCCCTGACCCCCACCCCGACGTTAGGGCTTCGTGCCACAGTCCTGGCGAAGGTCTGCAAGGCTTCATACTTGGACCGGAGAGCGTCAAGCTCGACGCGCATGGAAGCATTCTCATTGGCCAGTTTGTCCACCTCCTGCTGCAGCTGGGCCTTCTGCTTCTCTAGCTCCTCCTTCTGGGTGACCCGTTTGACCCGGCAGCTGGCGGCGTAGCCTCGGTTCTTGAGGGTGCGCCTCCTCTGTTTAAGCTGCAGGATCTCTTCTTTGGAGAGCCCCCGGAGGTGCTGGTTCAACTCCCGTACAGACATGGTCACCAGCTCCTCGTCAGTGAGGCTGGTGCCATTTTCCCCCGGCTCACGCTTCACCTGGAGGAAACACAAGAGAGGAGGGCGATAAATCATACCGGATCAAACCAAATACAAAACTGAAAATTGGGTTGAAAAAAAAAAAAAAATCACATAAAAACGTACTTTCATTTACCTTTAAGGCTTTATTTCCTTTGTTAGTCGTCGTCATGCCACAAGAGCCGTGCTCTTCTGCGCAAACCTTTGGAGAACACCGGAGAGAATAAAGCGTGAGCAAAGAAGCCTAAGAGAGAAGAAACCAAATAATGAAAATCTGACACTATCCATGTAACACAGTGATGTACCACATGGTAATACCGACCAGAGAATAGGGAGATATGAAGCTAAATCTACCATTCTGGCCCTTCTGTGGGAGCATGTTACACATTTTAGCATCTGTATAAGACTGCATGAGTGAAAGTGACAAACGCTTCTTAGAATTTCCCTGACTTCCTGTTTCCTTGTGGTTTCACTCAGTGCCCACTACCTTTATACTCTCAAGCTCTCATTGGCTGGCTCGAGGCCAATAGCGATGAAATGAGCAAGAGAGAAGAGGAAGTGGTGAAATTTGTAGGAAGGACTCCTGAGGGAAGCTAACTGTTAATATCCTGTTTAAATATAAAGACAGACCCTTCCACAGATAAGAAGCTCACCGAACAGAGAGCCTCACTAAGGTTTTATACCCATCAAACCTAATTGCATAAAGTTGCATTAGAGCAACCAACCTCAATGTTTCTCACTGAGATTTTATGTAAAAGAGCAACGTACGTCAGTCCATCATTGTGAAACAGACTGTTATTGATATCCAGCTTTTCAATTCTTCAATTGTTTCTTTCTAAACGGTGCCATAGATCTACATTAAACCTTTCAAAGTCTAAGAGAAACACATAGCAGTTACAAGTTTAGAGAATTGTCACATTTTTCTTTGCTAAATCGCTCACGCTCAGGTAGACTGGAGGGAAAGCATCTGTGAGGAATGAATTTTCGGATCTAGTTCTAGACTTTGACTGGACCATTTCATTACATGAAAATGCCTTAATCTAAACCAGGGGTCTAAAGCTTCGGCCCCAAAGAGCCACTATGCTGCACCTTTTGGACATATCCCTGCCCCAACACAAATGACTGAAAGTTAACAATAAGGCCTTTGGAAAACATGCTGGTATACCAAGCAGGTAATACAGTCTTTTGATTTATGTGTATTGCAACATGACTTTATCCAGAAGTTGCAGGACAGCGGTGGGACAGTAGGTTGGAGTTTTAGATCACTGATATTACCCATTCAGTTGTGGCTTTGGCTGCATACTTAGGGTTATTCTCCTGTTGAAAGGGGAACTTCCACCTCAACCTAGGGCTGGACTATATGGCCAAAACTTATACTATAATACATTTCTTAATCTCAGTTGATACAATACAATTTCAATATCAAAAAGCCTTAGAAACACTGCCAAGAATACACACAACAGATGCTTGTACTAACTTATGGCAATTAGTCTGCAAAGCTTAAAAGAAATCCTATTTGTATAAAAAAAAATAAACACATAAAGCTAGATAAAACCAATATTGTAATTTATTGACAAATGCTTTTATTTATTGACCGTAATGTATATTGAAACATCACCAATGTGTTTACATTTCATATCACCAATATGAATTAAATATTACTATATATATTGATATCAAAATATTGTCTGGCCCAACTTCAACCTAAAGTCATTTGTTTCCAAGAGGTTTTTTCTAATTGTCCTTCATTTATCTTTATGCATCATAATCTCCAATAAACCAGGTTCACCAACCCGAGTGGTGGATCTCTGCAGCTCCTTCAGAGATGCTTCTCTGAAGTTTGACAGCACAGTCGTGCCATCCTCTTTCCATTTTTTTTAGGTGAAGGTAAGAACAGAGCTCTATGAGATGTTAAACCCTTTAAAGTTGTTTTATATTATTTAACTCTCCCATTTTCTACAGCCCTCTCTGCATCTGTCTGCTGTACTTTCTGGTTGCTATTTATTTGCTAATGTTCAACAACTAACCTATTTGTCCTTACAGATTAGCTGGAGTCATTACTGGGATAAGATACAAATGCATAATACACTTTTCAGATTTGTTGTTTGTAAAACAGAAAAAACATGGATCATTTTCCTCCCATTTAACAATTAAACACTCATTAGTGTTGATCTCTCACATAAGATCTTAATAACATACATTTAAGCCTGTTATCGATAAAAAATAGAGAGAATGGAAGACTTCCGGTGGCGCCATGGTGTGAAAAGCAGGAGAAAAGGCTGCTCTGAAGAACACGATTAAAACTAGCGTTAAAATAAGGTAAAAACTGTAGAACATAGAGAAAACTCACTCTTAAAGTGACATAGATCATCCCATGGAAAATATGGTCAAGAAAGGAAAGAGTATGGAAGAGAAAGGCGGAAAAGAAAAGAGTGCCGGAACCGCGAAAGTACAGAGCCATGCAGGGGAGCGCTCGGAGCCGCCGAAAGGGGACCGTGACTCGGCCATACTTATCGAGCTACGAGAGCTACGAAAAGAGCATGCGGAAGCGGTAGGAGATAATAAGCAAGCAATGGCTAGAGTGGAAGCGAGTATTGGGGAGCTCATGGTCAGAACAACATCCCTGGAGCAGAGAGTAGCTCACATGGAGGAAAGATTGGGAAATAATGAAGATAAGATTGCGCGGGAGGAACGGGTGGCGACATTCCTGCTCCGAGAGGTGAGCAAAATATCAGAGAAATGCAACGACCTTGAGTCGAGGATGAGGCGCAACAACATACGAATCCATGGCATCCCCGAAGGTGCAGAAAAAAATGACACCATAAGCTTCATAGCACAATTTATTAAATCCCAGATTAAAACTACAGACGGGGTGGACCTGCGTATAGAAAGAGCACACCGGTCACTGGTGAATAAGCCAAAGGATAGCACAGCGCCTCCGAGGGCGATCATTGTGCGCTTTTTGGATTATAGGGTGAAGGAACAGGTGATAAAAGAGGCCTGGAAACAGAAGATCTACTATGAAGGACAGACTGTTTATTTCAACCAAGATTACACAACAGAGGTCCAAAAGAAAAGGAAGCAGGTGAGAGACGTCATCAAACAGCTGAAGGAGAGGAACGTGAAGGCGCAGTCCCCCTATCCGGCCCAACTCAAAATATTTCTGGACACTGGAACAAAGATATTCAGCACAGTGGAAGAAGCGGCGCCTTTGCTGAAAGAAATGGGCATCAAGGTGAAGGAAGACAGGCTAGAGAGAATTCAGCATGTGATGGCGCAGACGGCAAAGGGGACCAGTCACAGGGGTAAGCAGTCGCGGCCTGAAATCACGGAGGCGGACCTGAGAGCACTCCTGGAGTGATGACGTCAGCCGAGGTGGCATCGTAATAAAGATTACCATATGTATGTATACATATATGTATGCCGTTAAAGAGAAACTAATTGTCATGACCTGCAAAAAAGGGAAAGGACAAGGAAAAAAAAAAAAAAAAGGAAAAGAGGACAAAAAAAAAAATGATATTCGTTTTGTTCATAAAAAAAAAAAAAAAAAAAAAAAAAAAAAACGCTAGTTGTGAAATAATTTGATAGATTACAAGAAAATCGTGTTCATTAAAGAGTAATATTGAGGAGTTTGAGTCTTTAGGGCTTTAGACAACTATTAAGAAGTTGTCAATGCACGCAGTGCTTGTTCATCAGAGAGAAGGTCACAGCTCTCTGATGTTAGGACTCTTGGAAGTTCATTGTTCATGTTCCAGACAATGTTATGGGGTTTATATCCCAATAAGTGTGTTTATATTTTGTTCTCGTTTCTTCTTCTCAGTTGAGTTTATGTTTTGTGCAATGTACTTTTCTTTTCAAAGAGGTGTCAGGTACAGCGCAGCTCCAGATATGATAGCAATATGAATGGGCTAAATATAGTATCTTACAATGTACATGGCCTAAACCATCCTATTAAACGTAAGAAGATTTTGACTCAACTAAAAAACCTGCAATGTTCCATAGCTTTATTACAGGAGACACATCTAACAGAGAGCGAACACAGAAAACTAAAAAGGGAGTGGGTCAGTCAAGCATATTATGCTTCATTTGGTAAAAGGAGGGGGGTAGCAATCTTAATCAAAAAAGGGATATTGTTTGAAGTTGAAAAGGAGGTAAAGGATAAAGAGGGAAGATATGTAATGATTGTAGGACGAATAGGAGATATGACAATATCAATATTAAATATATATTACCCAAATGAGGAGAAGGACACTTTCTTGAAAGAAATAGTCAAAATAATAACAAATGATGCAAAAGGAATGATACTGATGGGAGGAGATTTTAATACAGTACAAAATAATATTTTAGATAGATACCCTTCTGACTTGGGACCACAGACAATAAAGTCTAGAATGCTAAATAATGTTACCAAAGAACTTGGTCTTATTGATGTTTGGAGAAGTATCAATCCTAAGAAGAGAGACTACACATTCTACTCAAATCCACACAAAAGCTACTCTCGAATAGACTATTTATATATATCTCAACAACATATACATAAAGTATTAAAATGTAACATAGAAAATATAACTATAAGTGATCATGCACCTATTCTGCTAACTTTAAGTACAAGTGAAGAATCTTGCTTTAGATACTGGAGAATGAATGTATCGATCATCTCCAATGAAAATATTGTCAAAGAAATCAAAGAGTCAATTAAGGAATACTTTGAAATAAATGATAATGGGGAAGTTTCACCAACAATATTATGGGAGGGAGGAAAAGCAGTGATAAGAGGGAAAATTATAGAAATAACATCTAGAATGAAAAAAGCCAGAATGAAAGAACAAAATGAGGTGGAAAATAAGATCAAAGAATTGGAAAGGGAACACAAACTAGGGGATACAAATATAATGGGAGAACTTAAAAAGGCAAAGCATAAATTAGAAGAGATATTAACTGTCAAAGCAGAAGGTTCTCTACGCTTTACAAATCAAAGATACTACGAAATGGGTAATAGGGCGAGTCGTCTTTTGGCATTTCAACTTAGGAAAGCCCAAGTAAATAGGCACATCTCCAAAATAAAACACCCCTTGAATATGCAGATTAAAACACAACCGAAAGAAATAGCGGAAGCGTTCGCAGAATATTATAAAAACCTGTATGATGATTCGGACAGAAATAATCGGGAGGATGAAACCTCTGCTTTTCTCAAAAGAATTAATCTCCCAACCTTGTCAGAAGAAGAATCGCTGGAAATGACGCGACCTATAACTCCACAGGAAATTCTGAAAGTTATTAAAACCCTCAAAAACAACAAATCCCCGGGGACAGACGGACTGCCAGGGGAGTTCTACAAAACATTTAGGGAAGAACTAACGCCAGTATTATGTAAGGTATTTAACTATGCACTAACGATGGGAGACCCCCCTAAAACATGGTCTGAAGCCATTATATCTGTGATATATAAAGAGGGTAAAGACTCAACCTTATGTGAGGGTTATAGACCTGTGAGTTTACTATGTAACGACTTAAAAATACTAACTAGTATATTGGCAGAAAGAATACAAAAATATATAAAAAAAATAATTAAACCAGATCAAACAGGATTTATCCCAGGCAGGCAGGGAGCAAACAACATTAGAAGGACACTAAATGTAATATCATGTGCAAAACTTAAACCACAATCTTCCCTCCTGATTAGTTTGGATGCCCAAAAGGCTTTTGACAGGGTAAACCTGAGTTTTCTATACCAGACATTACTAGGATTTGGGTTTTCAAAGCAACTTGTTGAATGGGTGAAAATAATTTATAAAAATCCAAAATCCCGAGTTCGAATTAATGGATATTGCTCAGAATTTT